AAATTGTCACTGCTGCAGCCGCAGAATGTCCAAGTAAGGCTGCTGGGGCCACCCCAGGTGCTGGCCCCAGCCTTCCCTACCCCACCTGGGGCAATCTGCTGCACACCAGAGCACATGCACAGAGGCATTCCCCAGGGACAAACAGCAGCAGTACAACTGTGTGCTGCTGTTATTCGATCCCAGGGAAACACACGTGCACGCTTGTCTGGACATGCCCTCTGGGTTTATCTTGTGAATCATGTCTGTACAGCTAACAGTGCTAACACTGCATGGCACTGTGAGGCACCCCAAAAGGATCTCCAGGCAACTGAGCATTCTGTGGCACCCTGGTTAAGAATCACTGCCCTAGATATTCTCACCTCAAATGCTGCAGGATGCTGATAAACTAAATTTCGACAGGCGTGACTCAGCCAGTTAAGCAGAGGTCTGGAAAACTGGGTTCTATTTCTGGTTCAGTCACTGACCTATTCAAAGATCTGGACAAGTGATAGGCTCTTTCATTAAATTTTCAAAAAGCCAAAAAGACTTTTGCACCTTGGAAAGCTGCTTGATATACTAGAATGACACTTGTTCTAAAATTCAAGAGTTTAAGAAGTAACTTTGTCCTAAGGCTGGTCTGACAGCTTCATTCCACAATGGGTTCTTATTTTTAGCTGCTCAGGTTTTGGAATTGTCATTGGTTCTATTGATCCTCACATATACTGAAGAAGTGACCTCCTGGAGGCATGGAAATCACAATTGTCTTGGTGCCTGAACTCCACCCGCTGGCTGATTTATAGTGACACTGACAAGTGTCCTAGAGACAGTCACTTGCCCTCCATACCAGCTGGCAGGAGTACAGGGATTATAAATGCCTTAAGGAAAAAGTGTTCTATTTAAAATCTAAGCTAAATTATCTGGGACAGAGAGTGATTGTATAAAATGGTATTATTTTGTGGAAAAAGAAAGAGGGGGAGATAATCCCCTAGGCCAACAAAAGGTGAGGCATTCTACAGAAAAAAACCCACTGAGGAAGTAGAGAAGGATTAAGTTACTACAAACCCTTCCAGCACTGTCTGGGTCCAAAAAGAACAATATAAAGCCCTTTTTAAATATCAAGATTCAAGAGGAAGGAAAAAATGTCTGGGTATCTTAAGAAGGGTTTGGAGGAATCAGTTATAGGGGAAAAAAGTGTATTGCTAAACATTATTATTCTACTGTATGTTCCAAATCTTTAATAAACTACATTAGTCCATGCAAATCAAGGACTCGACTATGAAACATGTTCAGAGTCCAACACAGTCAGGCTCTAAATATGACTGGTTTTGTACTACAACAATATAAAATAAAATAATATTAATTTAAAATAAAAACAAAATAAATTAAAATAAACAATATAAGCAATGAAATAAAACAGAATAAAATGATGTGAGCTACACTATGTAAATATTTCTCTTTTAACACATGAGAATCTCTGGTTCGTGTAACACTAAGCTTTATAACAGACTGCCTTTTCCCTGCTGCACCCCAAGCACAGACACAGACTTCAATTAAACTAGCGTACTGCAGCAAGCACTACATTACACAGTCATTAATGCAATCATTAAGTCAGTGTAGTGAAACTGAAAATGGACACAGTTAACACAACATGGAAAAAAATCAAACTGGGCTACTGCAAAGAGGCCAAAACAAAAAAACAAAACAAAAGCACCACACCGTCAAAGTAAAAAAAAAAAAAAAAGAGGAGTTAAATGTACACAAACTATAATAGGAAACTGGGTATGGACAGTTCTATTTCAGAGAAATATGCAGTACTAGAAAACCTGGCGAGATAGGGAGTGTACAAATATCCCAGCCCTCTGGCTGGAGAACAACAAAGTTAACTCAGTTATGAGTTTTCCAGCCAGGGCTGATAGGGAACTGCTCCTCCACTTTCCTCCATCCCCATAGCAGACAGCTTGTCTCCAACCTGCCTCTGGCTTCCTCCTAGTGCTTTGAGTCTCCCAAAGCTGTGTAGGGGGCCAGAAGCTAGCATAGCGCTTCTATATTAGATTTAAACTCTTTCGCATTTGAGAGTCATACAATACAATGCCCTTGCTTTTATCTTCAGACCAAGTCTCTCATGTCCTAACTTTTGCCACTAACCACTCTGTCCACCTATATAGGAAATTCCTTCTCTTTTCCCACTGCCTGCTACAGGCCAAACTTTGGAAATGAAATCCCTTCCTACATCAGTCTGACAAGTCACCACCCAGGATACCACCCAAGTACTGACTGTCGCATTTAAAAAATTCCAAGTTACTTCTCTTCTGAAATTCTACAGCATCTTGTCTCGCCTTATCCAAAGACCAGATACACCATGCACCAACAGTATCATCCAAATGTTAAAGTGAGAAATGTTGCACAAAAGTTGAAGTTCTTTCCAAATGGGTGTAGCTAGTAAAAATACCATAAAATGTGTTAACTGCTTGGCATCACTAAATCAATGCTTTAATTTAAGAATTTACATGAAAGTATAATCAAATAGTAAGATATAAAAGTATTCTGATTAAATAAGGCTGCTGTATATCATATCTATAATCAAAATGAACAGTGTATCAACCCTTACTCTACTGAAAATGTACTAATATGGCACTGGACAAGCTACTATTTTATAGACAACAGTTTTGCATTGTCCAGCCAGATCACTGCAAGAATCTCTCCGAATATTTATAATACACTTCTTTCACCTTGATAGTCACTACATGAGGGGTAGGCAAGTATTTGGGCTGCAGGGCCACATATAGAGTTTCAGTGAGCTGTTGGGGGGCTGGGGTGGGAAGTGGCAACTGATCCTATCTGGCCCCGGGGCCATCCACCTCACACCCACTGCCAAGGCCACCAGATGGAGCGGACGGGCAGGTGGAACCTCCATCGAGACTGACCTGGGACCTCCATGAGTCGGATATGTTTGGCATGGTGAATGGGATGGGGCCGTAGGTGGGCAGGGAATGGTATCCAGGGGTGCGGGCAGGGCCGGGATCTTGGGGCAGTGACAGCACAGGGCTGGGGCCCAGGGAAGAGCCATGATCCACTCTCCACACATCTCTGCAACGGGTGCCAGTTCCATGGGCAGGGACATGCAGGGAGCGGATCACAGCTCTGCCCCAGGCCCTGGCCCCACGCAGTCACTGCCCCACAACTCCAGCCCTGACCCAACCAGTTAAATGGTTAACCGATATAATTAGAAGAATTGAAATACCTAATATTTAAAAAATATTTACACCCCTGCACAGAGCATGAGCAAAGAATTATAAACTAAGTTAATAAACCCTACTATTCAGCAGAGTTAACTAGGCATAGGTATAAGTGCCATGCTAACGGAGGTATACAACTTTTGGCCTTGAAGCTAATATATTCATTTATTTAATTTATATACCCCACTCCATCCAAAAAGCTCTGAGCACCTTACAATAAACAAACCATTTGCAGATAGGATTCCCCAAACACCACCCCAAAACCTGAGAAACCCAACTTCCTCCCTTCCCCCAACCACTGCCTCACTGCCCGAACTGCTACACAAAAACACCCCAAACTTTCTACTGAGCCCAATCACCACTCACATAGTTACAACAAACTTTCCCCCTGCTGCTACACACCCACATAATCCCACCACTGCAACTTAACCCTCTCTTCCAAGCCCATACTCCCCATCTTATAGAGGATGTGCAATTACTACTCCCTTTTCCCCCTCCCTGCAAAAAGCACACCTAATTCTTCCTCTTTGCTCCAACAGCCAACAGAAATTCCAAAGAACCCTTAAAAAAAAAGTGGAAGAAAAAAAAAAAAAGAATGTCTGTCCCCTCCTCGGTCACTGCCAAAGGGCACATTAAAGTACTGTTCTTTGGTGGCATCCCAGGGCAGTGTCTGCCCAAGGAGGCCTGCCAGCTTTATCTGTATCTCTAGAGAGCACTGCTTTGTGCCATGCATACTTATCTTAAAAGCTATACAGCAAAAGCTCTGTTATCCAGCATCCCCTGGGAATGGGGAATGCTGGTTAATCAAATGTGCGCTATCTGGTGCACTCCCTGGCATCAGTGTGCCGGGGGACAGAGAGGGGGGGCCCCGTGCAGGTTGCTTTGACCCACACAGGCTGCTTTGCTCTGGGCTGTGGGCCAAAGAAGTGAAGGAGAAGAACTTGGCTCGTGGCGGCGAAACCAGAAGTAGGACTTCGGTTTCACTTTTGCCGCATCCCTCGGATACTGGTTAGTGGAGCTTTCTGGTTGATAAAGTGCCAGATAACACAGCTTTTGTGGTATAAATGATCCTAGCCCAGCTCTGTGATGCAAGAGATCAAATTCATGTGTGCTTGCAAATAATTTGGCCCCAACTTATTTTTCTTTTCTGATTGATTTTTTTTTAAGTTAGATCCAGCCTAAAACTGTCAAACCTGTATTTTTTTTTCCCCACATGAATCAAGCACTTCAAGGCAATTCGGAAATGCAATGAGAGAGAACAATATATATTTTTGGATATTACTTTGATTTATGGATATAAACTGGTTTGGCTTAGCATACTCTAATGTGCCTAAATTTCATTAAAACCATTCCAGGTAAGTAGCACCTATGCTCTTAGCAAAGTCAATATGTTCTTTAAACTTAAAACAGGCTATAGGAAGGGCACATACAAAATTAGAAATTTACCATTTCCCTTTTTTTTTTTTTTTAACCTTTGAATCATTTCTGATTATAATCTCACCCTACTACTAAAAGTGAAAGAACATCCAAGGTTTATTCTTTAGACTTTTTTTTCTTTTAAGTCTAAGATGTTTTTAGAAAACACCATTAACTATGAAGCCTGAATACCCCATCTAGTATTTTTCTATTACCCATATGGTAAATGAATGCCTTGAAGCTTCCACTAATGGAAACATTTTTCATCTCGAGTGGGAACTTCCCCATTCATGCATAGCTTATTCCAAGTCTCTGGGTTCATTTGGTTTCCCCCAAGAGCTGAATTTATTAAAAGAATTCTGAACCAACCTGAGCCACCTTCTGCCAAGTACCTGTCCTTGGCATAAATGACAGAATCCAGCATAGATTCAAAAAGAAGGAAATAGCCCTGTGAAAGAAAAGGAAAAAAAAGAAGTAGTTAAAAAACAAATGTCTTCTTTATCCATAAGACAACTCAGAAATTAGTTTTCATACCTCATATTATGCTACGGGTGTATTTTTGAGATTTTTCTCAGGCTTGGGGATAGTTTGAACATTATAAGCAACTAAAGAGAAAATTTTGGAATAAGAGAGCTATAGGGGTTTCTTATATGGCTCTATAACCACAGATGAGAGATTCTTGCAAGCATTTAGCAAATTTCTCAACATTAACTATAGTATATACCGCAAGGTTCTAGCTCCATGTAATTGCACCTTAAGTATCCCAAACTACCGGTACTGAAATCATTATAAGTGCTCTGTAAGGACAAATTAGTTAGACTATTCAAGAGGTAGATCAGTATTATAGTCTCTCTTTTTTGGTAAATGTCACCGTTTGGTTTTTTTATAAAAACAAATTGCTAAACTACAATTGTGTAAAGAAATATATACACTTCTTCAAATCAAGTCAACTACTTTTGAACATACATCACAGTTCCAACATGGTTTGTACCAGAGGAGCCAAAGAATAGAACAGCTTTTAAATAATCACGGTGCATTGCACAGTACTCTTCATAGTACTTGTCAACCCATAGGCTATATGACACAGGTAAATATAACTTAGGCTTCCCAGATGACAACTATACACTTTACCCGTATAAATATTTTTATACCACTAAAGCAAATGAGATTAAAGAGCGCTACGACTTATTTTGCATTTTCATTCAATGTCTACATTCCTTTATTTTACAAGCAGTAAGTATGATCTCATTTATGCCAGTATTTTCCATTTAAGTATAGAAAAATCAACTTTAAGAACACAAGGCAGGTCAGCAGCAACCAAGACAAGAACAAGCATGAAGATATTCTGCATGAAAATGGCACAACCTCAATTATTTTTGAAAGGTAAAAAAATTCTACTTTTGTAACAGAACAGAAATATAATCTAAATTATAAACTCATCAATGCTGGAAACATGCCTCCACCTAACCATAATTCTAATGATAGCTTTTTAAAGCAGAAGGATTTTTGTCTGCTATTATAGCCATTCTATCCATCAATACAGAAAAAAACAGAAAGCCTAAAAAAACATTTTTCTTTTTCATTTCTAGTTCCAAACACAAGAAAATATGTTAGCTCAGTTGGTTAGTGTGTAGTGCTAATGCCAAGGTTGCAGGTTCAATCCTAGGACAGATGCTTCCTGCCTCATACAAGGGGCTGGACTAGGTGACCTCTATGATTATTCTGCCTGTCAGACAAAAAGTTTTATCATTTTCTGAATAAAGAAAGGAAATACCACCAGGCTCTTTTGGTATGTATTTTCTAAAAAACTGGTATAATTCTAAAATAAATGGGAGAAATAGTTAGTTATTTTGGTCTCAGGTTAGGCAGAAGTTAGGGCAGGGTGGTATCTCAGACAGCAACTCGTTCAGAGGCATAGGCTTTTGTAGGCTATAACCTATTTAGTTAGATATGTTGCCTATGAAAGCTCATGCCTCTGAATGAATATGCATAAGGGTGCTACACTGCTATCAAAAGAAGATACCCCTAAAAAGATGTGCCGCTACTTCTGATGCTGCTCTAGTTCTTACCAGCAACTGAGATTCCATTAGCCAACAGCATACAACACGCTACATACAAGCCAAAATAACTGTGTTTACAGCTGCTATTTATCTGGACTATTCTACCTGTATTCTTATTGCATTATTACTGAGATATCAACAGCAACAGAATTCACATCCTTACATGTTTGCACACAAGTAATATAATGACAGAAAACTCAAAGTTAGGGCGCGGCAGACAAACAATTTAATGTTAAAAAGCCTTGGATGAGATTTACTAGGAGTCAATTTCCTGGATCAACTATTATGTAGTAACTATTTCTTGTATCTGCTCTATTCCACATTAAGTGGAAACTGAATAGAGGCAGTTTGATGCTGAACAAAATAATAGCTTAGATTACCACAGGTTCCTCTTACCAAGGGACAGAAAGAGACACGTGAAAAGTTACCACAGATTAGTGGGAAATGTAGTGAAGTCCTTAATTCCCTTTTAATTCTGTATAGTTTTTTCATCTATATACACTCTTAAATGTTATGGTACCGTAAGAGTGATATTGTAGCCATGATGATCCAGAAATTATGGCAGAGGCAAGGATTTATTAGTATGATATCTTTTAGTGGACCAACTATGCTCTTCACACCCTTAAAGGCAAGGATCCTGTCATGGATTCACCCCAAAGCCAAGTTACCCTTTGGAGTTTCACTGTGTGGCATGCATAGGTATTCTCCAAAAACAGATTTACTCTTGTGGTGTTTTGTCACCAGGGCTAGGGACAGAAGTTGCACATAAACCAGAACAAGTGATTGGAAACCGATTCAAATCTGTAACACAACAGAAGTTCAGAGCACATAAACTACTTTCAAAATGGCCAAAACCTGTTTAAGATAAACCTAGACAGATGCAGTGTCAGACAACTGATTTAGGTTAAATCTGTTTACTGAACTTCTGTCCTAGATGCCCTCCAGATTTAAGTTAAGTCACAGTTCCCTAGCATCCCCAGATGCTTTGCAACTCCTCTGCAAAACCCTCCTCACAGGGTGGGCAGGCTAGCTATGGCCCAAGTTGTCTGCTCCAGCCAAGCACAGAGCCATGCTGTAGCACCCCCTGGATTCTGACCTGAGCCACTGCAGGCATGTAGCTACATTTCCAGAATCAAGAGGATGTCTGTTCACTTGCTTATTGGTTCAATCTCCATAGCTTAGACTAACCTGCAAAGATTGAATCAATTCAGCCTTGGGCTTTTTGGCTGTCTGTATGTGCTTAGCTCAATTGTAGCTACTGCAAAGCTGTGTTCAGCTTTATTGTTCTCATAATAATACATGTTAGTATTTGATACAAATATAAAGTTGCTGTATCTTTATTTCAGCCAAGGTTGGGTCAGAAAAGCCATGATAATTTGAGCAGCCCTCAGCTTTTCACACTTAGGGCTTTGTCACAGGGTACCTTAAAACTGGCATACATAAAGGCACTTAAAAACAGAGTATTAACCCGTTAAACTGTCATAAGTACCCTCTAAACATTTTAAAAGGTAAGACACTCAAAAGGAGTGTTCATCTTGGAAACGTTTTACCCATCCTGTATTGTTGGAATGGTCAGGGAAGATAAAATGCTTTACTTTCATTTCTCTCCAGCTCCTAGCCACTCTTCCCATTCCCACCTTCCAAAACTCTAGTGGTACCCCCCGACTCCACCTTCCTGCTAAGGGCAACTGCTCCGAGAGGCTCAACTGCAGAGTGACCATGGAGCTGGGGAAGCCTGTTTCCCCCAACCGCATGGTCTTACTGCTGGGAGGCTCAAATTTGGTGAGATCAGAGAGACCGCGCTAACATTTGACTGTCTGGCCTAGCCAAGTTGCAGCTTCGTACTGAGACCAGGACTGCCGCCCTGTCAATTTCAGCAAAAGTACAGAACCCGGGGAAAACAACTTCCCAAGGGCTCTAGTTTCACTGAGCTATGGTTGATCCATACTGAGAGCTGGGCTGTCAGGGCTTAAGCTGCTCAGCATGGAGCTGAGAGCGTCCCAGGGAATGAGTTTCCCATGGGCTCTCTGCTCTCAGAGCTGTGGCAGCGCTGTGCTGAGAGCAGATCCACCAACTCAGTTTCAGGGAATCCAGAGAGCTCCAGCTTCCCCAAGGCAATCTTCTCACTGAAACTGACATGGAGGCTCAATTTCAACAAGGAGCCACTGCTGCTCAGCAAGAAAACAGAGCCCCTGGGAAGCTGCTCCTCACTGAAACCGTCACGGTCACTCCACCCTGAGAGTGGGGAGCAGCCGCGGCTTAGTAAAACAAGAGACCAAGCAGCTTCTGGTCTCACTGAGCTGCAGCTGCTCTGTGCTAAGAATGGGGTCCCTGGGGCTTAAGACCCAGTGGCCCCACCCTCAGCATGGAGCTTGCATCTCAGAGCCCTGGGGAAGCTGCTTCTGAGCTACAAGCCTTCCTCTCATCTTTCTACCTGGCTCACCAGGCCCTCTAGTCACAGGTCAGTCATGCAGGTCTGAACTGACCTGAAGCCTCCACCTATGACTGCTCTAATACTGCCCTGTCTTCATGACATCCCTATATTGCAGAGATTTCTGGCATTATACAGGTAACCTCTGACAAAGCCCTCAGAAGAGTTAATGACTAAGAAGTTGCATTTGACTTAGGCTGTTTACTGGTCCTCCATGTAGACAGGCTAAGAGGTGCAAGAACCCTGGACTTGGCCGATGATAAATATACAGTCAAAAAGAAGAGCCAGGAACTCGTCACCTGGCTGGTCACACTCTTCTGGGGGAGAGCTGGATATTGGATTAGCAAATCCACATGTCTAAGAGCATTCAAGTTTGTAGTCTGGTAAATATGCACCTTCAGGGGCTAGGAAGTTACTGACATTGTATATGAGCCCCCCAGAAATGAAAGGGTGACATATGTTAACAGCCAGATTGACAAAGGTAGTTAAAGCCTGCCTCAAAAGCATGGCTTGGTTTTCAGTCTTCCTGAGTAAAAAGGGGGATGAAGTCCCCCAGTCAAGCAGGCTGGGAAAGTGACTGACAAGTAGATGCAGAAGGCTTTGGCATGTAGTCAGAGACAGAAACTGCTCTCTATCTTGGGAAGGTGGCTATAGACTGAATCTGTGGATTTAAGATGCAGAGTAAGAACATGCCAGTGTTATGGTTTCTTCCTTTTGTCTACTCTCATATCTCTGTCTGTATCTCAACCTATGGCTACTGATTTCTTATGCTTGTTCCACTTCTATAAAAAATCATTTTGTTGTTTGTTTTCTTACTGACTGCACATGGAAGCGGTTATTTCTGGGCAGGTGATACTCTAGGCTGACCCTCTCCATGGAGAGGGGGACCCTATAGTTCAAGGACGGGCAATCATTTGGGCCCACAGACCACATGGGCAACTGTGGGGAGCTGCTGTG